TCCCTTTCTCTCTCATCTCTCCCTGGTCAAATTTTTAAAAATAATAATAGCAAATAAAATTAAATAAATAACCCTCTTTAAAAAGGTTCTGAGGTCCAGATTTATTTACAGAGGCAATTACAAATTACATATAGACCTGCTATTTTTTCCACGACTGATACCAAATGTAACAACAACAGTAATAAAGCAGTTAACATTCACTGAAGGCCTACTATGCGCTAGGCACCTGTTAAAAACACCATGTAGATCTCATTTACTAACAATAACCTTATAAGGTAGGTACTATTATTAGCTTAATTTCACAGATTTAAAAAAAAAATCTGCACCCTGAAGAGGAGACCCACCCGCAAGGTCTCCGTGAAGAGTGAGGAGAATGACTACTAACATGCCTGGTCCTGTGCTACTGGAGACATGCCAGTCCCAGGGAAAGGTTACAGCACTATGACGGCACGGAAGCGAACGTATTCACACGAGGGCACCTTTCCTCGCGGCATAAATGCTTATTTCAACACGTCAGTTCAACACAGATTGATGTATTTTGGATATCTTTCATAAGAAATGCTCTGAAAGCCCATGGACCAGTCTCTTGAATAGCCTGAGTGGTAGCAAATCTTCGCTCTTTGAAGGTACATTAATTGTAACTTGATTAAAATAAATAATTTCTTGGAGTGACAGAGTCAACAATCAGAGCCAAGTCTGTCCCCAAAAGCTCTGCTGTAGGAACTGCTGAACGACAGTTCAGGCTGCCCTGGCAAAGCTGACTCCTATTCTGATCTGCGAGTAACAAAAAGGAAGCCAGTATACACTTGGCCTCTTTCTGTACGGAAAACTGTCACTCTGTGCCAGAAAGAACATTCTGTGCTGGAGCACAGACGCCCCCCAGTGGTTGCCTGTGGTATAGCAGATGGATGCCCACAGGCCAGTTCTAAGCACTACCTTCCCAAGCTCTGGAGGGTGCAAGATGCTGAAGCCACCAGAGACTAGACTCTCCTGGTGAAAGCCAAATGAGAAGAAAAAATCGGGATGGATTGTGAAGGAAGGTAGGCCAAACAGGATCAGAAGAAAGCAACCTCGGGACATTTCTATGAAGAAAGAAGAAAACTGACTCCATGTGAACTAACAGAGGCTATGAACACACACAGGAGGAGATGCACCTGTCAGCAGCCACAGCTGGGCCGAACCAAGCATCCGGACCCCTACAGTCCTCCCGTGTCCTCTCTGATCCCTGGGCGTTCCATCCTCCGTTTCTGTTGCCTGGAGTATTCTCCATCCCCCTCGGCTGGCTAATCCCTGCTCGTACGTAGGTCTCAGGTTTTGACTCTGTAAGGCTGGCTGTGGCGTGCAGAGGCGACCGTACTGGAAAACAGCCCGGAGAGGGCGCCTGGGCCACGGGCACTGCAGCCTCAGGCCTACTTACCCTCCCTGACGCCGGTCCTCTGCTTCCAGGGAACGTCGTGACACAGCCGCTCAAACATCCGGTCGGCTTCTTGTAAATCCACAAAGCCAGGATACAGACGCACCCTTGATGCGGAAAGAATACCATTAACTACAGAACACAGAAAGGGTGCGCGACGCTGTCAGTGCAGTAAGTTCATCTAGCTCTCCACTGCCTCTGATGAATGGACCAAATCACGTTACCACCTCCCGCAGCGAGCAGAGCGCTCGCACCCAGGTCACGGTGCTCCAGATGTAACAGAACTCCCCACGTGTTAAGACAAATAAGAGGCCATGAAGAGAAGAGGGATGCATGAGGGCTTTCAGAGACGACGGTTCTAGTACCCCTCCGGCACTGCCAGGCTGTGAAGTCTTGGGCAAGCCACTTAACTGCCCCAAACCTTAGCTTCCTCATCTGCACCCTGAAGAGGAGACCCACCCGCAAGGTCTCCGTGAAGAGTGAGGAGAATGACTACTAACATGCCTGGTCCTGTGCTACTGGAGACATGCCAGTCCCAGGGAAAGGTTACAGCACTATGACGGCACGGAAGCGAACGTATTCACACGAGGGCACCTTTCCTCGCGGCATAAATGCTTATTTCAACACGTCAGTTCAACACAGACTGATGTATTTTGGATATCTTTCATAAGAAATGCTCTGAAAGCCCATGGACCAGTCTCTTGAATAGCCTGAGTGGTAGCAAATCTTCACTCTTTGAAAGTACATCTGACTTTATGAAAGAGCCCAAATTTACCTGAAGCAACACCTGGTTAACAATGAGAGGTGACCCAGACAATGCCACGGATGTGTTTATGTGCCTGTTAAACCTGTCTGAAAGGGGAGCCCCATGCCCCCAATACATGGTTATAGTAATGGTAATGCCAATGGACTTTATAGAGCCTTCTAAGCCCAGTAGACACTCTTAAAAAAAAAAAAAAAAAGGATTATTTTATTTGATTGATTTGTTTTAATTTGACCAGAGGGGGTGAGGGAGGAGAGAAAGTGACAAAGCAAGCCACCAGGTCCAGGACTCAAACCACAGGTGGCCATATGGGAGAGTCCAATGTCCTTAACCACCATGTGCCAGCCCCGGCACTCTTTTTAAGAAATGCATTTAAATGTGTAAGTTCTGATATATTTACTGTAAATATCTTATTATTTTAGTGATTAGCAAACTCATGCAGTAAGGTGACACTTCTTTCTTTTTTTTCCTTTGGGTGGGGAGGGGGGATGCAGTAAGGTGACACTTCTTTCTTTTTTTTTCCTTTGGGTGGGGAGAGCATGTGCACTCGCCAGAAAGACAGAGAGACAGAAAGCAAGAAACCATCCCCCAGGGGAGATGGCCAAGCCGCAATCCCTTCTCCTCCATTCTCCTCTCAGGATCTTGGGCACACATGCACACACGCCCGGCGTGAGTTTAAGCCACCGGGTCCGGGACGCGAACCGTGGTTGACTACACGGAGTCCAGCAACATGGTCATTATGCCAACTGCTGGTCCTCAAGGTGACACTTCTAAATTGTTTACAAAGAATTATTTTACTTTGTTATTGTTATTATTTTATTTTGACCAGAGAGACACACACAGAGAGAGAGAGAAAGAGGATGTGAGAAAGCAAGCCCCAGGTCCGAGAATCGAACCGCGGTCGACCATGTGGGAGTCCACGTCAGCCACAGCACCACCTGCTGGCCCCGTATTTCTAAAATGTTTTAAAGTAGTGATAATGCCTAATATATCATATGCTTTAAGTTCACTGAAATCCATCCTAATTTAGCAATATGATACAATATATAATGTTACACATATAATCAATATATATAATAATTTAGAAATTTGAATGTAGTGATAATATGGAATTAACAGCATAAACTCAAAGCTAGACTACACTGTAACCTTACGTTACCACGTGGCCCTAGGAAAAAGTACTTGGTCTCCACATGCCTTATTTCCATATCTGAAAACCTGGGAAAGTAATACAACAGGGTCTTTGGGAAGTTTATAGAAAATGTATTAAAAAAAAAAAACTATGCATGGATTTCTTTTTTTTTTTCTTTATAGTTTTGCCATAGGGCACATGCACTCACCAGAGAGAGCGAGCCAGCCAGCCAGAGAGAATCATGTCCCTGGGGGGGTGGCCATGCCGCAATCCTGTCTGTCCCGTCTCCTCTCAGGGTTTGGGGCATGCACACACATGTGCCTGGCATGATTTTCAGGCCACCAGGTCTGAGACTCGAATAGCAGTCAGCCCTGTGGGGGTCCACTGCCACCCACTACACCATCTGCTGGCCTCTATATGCATGGATTTCAAAAATGTCTGCACCAAAATAAACTTGTGCTTTTAATGTTTCCATGAACTTTTTGAGTCCCCCTCATAGTTACTGAATCTGAGAGCCTGCAAATATGTTCTGAAGCTAGAAACAGCATATGAAAACGAGGTATCATATTCTTGCTTCCCAAGAATTTCAGGGACAGAAGTTACTTATATCAATGAAGGAATGGACTATTTTTTTAAAAAAAAACTTTAATTAATTATTTATTTATTTATTTATTTATTTTTATTTGACCAGAGAGGGACAGAGTGA